GTCTGAGCCACTGGGGGAGGGGGGGGGAGGGGGAGAGGAGAATTGGGGAGGGAGGAAAGGTAGAGAAGAGGGAGAGAGGGTGGGGCGGGAGAGGAGGAGGTTGGCGGAGGAGGAGAGGGAGAGAGAGAGAGAGAGAGAGAGAGAGAGAGAGCGCAGAGAGAGAGAGGAGAGAGAGAGAGAGGAGAGAGAGAGAGAGAGAGAGAGATAAAGAGAGAGAGAAGAGAGAAGAGAGAGAGAGAGGGAGAGAGAGAGAGTAGAGAGAGAGAGAGAGAGAGAGAGAGAGAGAGAGAGAGAGAGAGAGAGAGAGAGAAAGGAGAAGAGAGAGAAGATGAAGAAGAGAGAGAAAGAGAAAGAGAGAAAAGAAGAGAGAGAGAGATGAATGAGGAGAAAGAAAGAACGGTAAGTGCTTCCACATTTTCTTCACCTCAAAAGAAGCAAGGTCATGTCTAAATGTCACGTCAATATGTCATGTCAGTCGCCCATTTTTACGATCCAAAGATTATTTGACTAAATCCTCCAGAAAAAGTCAGCATATCATATATATATAATATATATATATATATATATATATATATATATATATATATATATTATATATATAATATATATATATAATATATATATTATATATATATAGATATATATCATATATATATATATATATATATGGCATGACCCTGGCGACCCAAGGACCTTTATAAACACTCTTTCATTTAAAATTAAAATTCTAAAAATTAGCTACAAACTGTCTGTCTATAATTAGCTTAGGTGTTAATGACAGGTGTTCTATACATAATATTAGTACTCTGACCAAGGGTTAAAAACCACTAACACTACACACTTACACATATAAATACATATATACATGATTTCATTTTAATATTTTATTGTTTTACGGATAATATTAGATTAGCGCTGTAAAGTTCATTTGTATTGTACCTTACTTTTTTGTAATTAACATTGCAAGGTATTATTACTGTCAACAAAAAAAGTTATTCATTTTTTGTATTTTTTTTTTTTTTCTTTTCTTCGTGTATCAAAATGACCGAAATTACACGAACTTGATACGCAGTTTTCGCCTTTATCGCACATGTGTTGCCGAATACATATTTTTTTGGTCATATTTTAATCTTATACATAACTCCTGATTACCCCCCCCCCCTCCCCCCACTCTCCCTCTCCTTACCTTTACCCCCCCCCCCCACCTCCCCCCACCACTCTTGTCATGCAGACACGCCAGATTGTCTTGGATTGACATGCATGTCTCGGGGAAAGGGGAGGGGGGGGGGTACACACACACACACACACACATTGTCACACACGACATTCACACACACACACACACACCACAAACATACAACACACACACACAACACACACACATACAAACACAACACACACACACACACACACACACACAACACACACAAACACAACACACACACACACATACACACACACACACACACACACACAACACACACACCACACAGACACACACATCCCATACCGCATACAAGTATACATATGAATACTGCCTCCATCTACATGTACACCTTTTCGTGTGCGTCTGCGAGCGTGTGTACGTTCTTGTCACCCTTTCCGTCGCTCTTATTACGCGAGCATTTTTCAGATAAGAAGCGTGCGTGTCGTCTTTCTTCGTAATCACTCTATGACATTTATATACATCGACTTGGCAGTGTCTCTCACTTGCATTCTTCCCTCTTTGGACACGCACACGAAAGCGCCATTTTTCTCTTTGTCTTTCTGGTCCATTTCTTCTTCCTTTTTCTCTTTCTCTTTCTTTGTCTATTTTTGGATTGTGTTGTTTTTTTTTTTTTTTTTTTTTTTGGTTATACTTTTTTTCTGGTTTTGTGTTTTTGTCTGGTTGTCTCTGTCTGTCTTTCTATCTCTCTCTCTTCTGTCTCTCTACCTCTCCCCTCCGTTTCTCTCTCTCTCTCTCTTTCTCTCTCCCCCCCTCTCTCTTCTCTTTCATTCTCTCTCTCTCTCTCTCTCCTTCTCTCTCTCTTCTCTCTCTCTCTCTCTCTCTCTCTCTCTCTCTCTCTCTCTCCTCTCTCTCTCTCCTCTCTCTCTCTCTCTCTTCCCTCCCTCTCTTTTAGCATATTCTTACCCAAGCAGTGAATATCGATATACAGATGAATAAGTAACTGCTCCCCACCACCACAAAACACCGCGCAAAAGAATCCAATGGTCTTAAAACCCGACCATAGCCCCGTAAACCTTCCATACGGAATCCAATGCCTTTCCCAATCGCAAGTTAAGGTTTGTTTACATTCTACGTCATCAAGGCGTTTATACTCCGAGGCCAATGCTGGTGTTTACTATTTCTCTCAGGTGTTAGTTACAGGGAGGGAGGAAGGGGAATAAGGAGAGAGGAGAGGAGGGGAAGGGTGAGGGGGAGAGAAAGGGGGAAGAGGGAGGGGAGAGAGGGCAGAGGGAGGGAGAGGGAAAGGAGAGAAGGCGAAGGGAGAGGAGGAAG